ATTGGTTGGCCGGAATCATGCCACATCACATTTGCATAGTGTTACTGTTCAGTAAGCACTAATTGGTCATCGAGCCTGATGTTGACGCTATAAAAAGGTTAAGATGAAGCGAGAGTGGGAAGTCCACTCCAAAACGGGAACTTCGTAAGTTCACTTCGGTTTTATTTAAGTTCAGTTCGACATGACCAGATATACATCACTCTCATTTAAGTTAGACTTGGGAATTTTTTTGTTCAACAATAAATGTGAATTCTTCTTCATGGAAAAATAAGACATCCCCTGAAAATAAGTTCTAGCACATCTTTGAGAGCAAATATTAATATAAGACACTGTCTTATTTTCAGGGAAACAGGGTATATTATAATATAAATGACACATTTGAAAATCATTAGTCACTTAAAAATGAAAATCAGGTGCTTTGACAAAATTCATAAAAAGAAATTGCCAGGAATATGGGAATTTAATGCAAATGCCTGGATGATAACCACAATAATGGTAAAGTGACTAAATAATTTCAATTAAAAAAAATGCAAAAGATAACAATATAAATGTTTTTTTATTTCTGGACAATGTTACATGCCATTCTCATCTCAGGCTTACAAATGTTAAATTGTATTTCTTTCAAGCAACATTATCTTACTTTTAGTCCTTACAACAGAAGATCATACTCATTATCAAAGCTCATTATCTATGGTTGATGATTCAGGAATCATTTGCTGATGTGATATATGAAATAGCACTTGGGAGACATCTAAAATGTTTTAAGTATTGAATGCAATTGAAAAGCTGATAGCATCATTCAATCTAGTAAAAAACTCTTCAGTTTCAAAATGCTTTAAAAAGATTGAATTCAAGAATGTTTTGGTTTTGAGGAAGATAATGATCTTTTGGCCAGTATCAACTTCAAGACATTCTAAGAGGCAGAAATGAACATTGACCTAACCATCAAAACTGAAAAATCAGAAATACAGAACTTACATGGTTTGTGCAAGAAATTCAATGCACAAAGACATTAAGTAACAACAAAACAGCAAGACAAGAAGGAGAGAATACAATTCAGTCATTTTCTACTTCTTTACATGCATTAAAAAATGTAAAGCAATTTTTCATTCAAGAATGCTTGGAACATTCATCCAATGCATTATAAAAAGTAATTGAGGTAACTGGAAAAAAGATATTAAGCAAAAGCAGCTGGAAGTGAGATCAAAACAAAAATATACAATTATTTTACTTTTGCTTAAGACATTTATGAATCAAAAGTGAAATAATTGTATATATTTTTGTGTATAATTTAATTGAAATGAGAGCGTTTCTATTCATTAAAATATTAATCTATTCCAAATTACGATACACCTTATTTTCCTTTTTACAGTCCTCTACTGTGTAAATTAAAACTACTGTAGTTAATGAAAGATGAATTAAAAATAAGTAATCTTTTTATACCATAATCTTGTACATATTACAGATAAAATGAAGAGGCAGTCAAATTTTTACTTTTTAGGGATTTTAATGCAAAGTCACTATTAGACAGGAATCTCTCTATAATGAAAATTTTTTACTCAAACATTTCTGTTATATAGTACAGAAGTTTTATTGTAATATTTTCTAATTTGTAATTAACACAAAATTATNATACTATACAGTACATGCTACATAGTTCAGTAAAGTATCATTAAACATATGAATTGTAATCTCTTGTCTACAGATTCTTATTAATTATGCCAGTATGATTTTCCAAAAAACTTACTGATATACTTCAATTGAGTGCATTATTTAAAATCAAATTAACATCTGGAAAAACAATCTGCTGTAATTCTGTAATCAATGGAGACATACTTAAAGATATTTGTTTGTACAATAAAAACATTGTGTTTATTTTTGCCAAGAAATTCTGTTACATGGAATTGATGATGTGTCAGTCTGGAGTTTCTCAGTTCTTTTTTCTAACTTCAAACACCTTCACAACATCAGATTGATGATGTGCAAAGCATAACCATCAGATTCTGTAATATAATGTAATGTTATGTATGAGGACAGACTAATAGTTTCTGTTCCATTACTATTAATTCCACATCGTCATCTAATGTATCACTTGATACAGCATCATCATTTCCAAATGTTTTTGCAATAATATTTTTGAGAATGCTCTCTGAATCATCACTGGAATAGCTTCTAGGCCTTCTAGATGTGTCTAGAAACTATTCCAATCAATGAAACAATTAAATAACTGAAGTATCAAGCTGATGATTGGTTTCTAACAATCTGATATATAGCCTTTGAGCATTTTTATCCAGATGACGATGTGCTGATATATCAGATATAAATATATAAATATCCAAACCTAATAGTTATGTATTAAAGCCAAATGATTACCAAATTATATCAGGCTATATTACTACTACTATTATTAATTAAATGCTAAGTAATTTGACACTAGAGGCAGGCATTAAGCACCATCTCTTGTTAAATTTAATAATTATAATTAAATGAATATTTTATTAATTAATTTAGACAGTTCTGGAATAAAAAATTAGCCTGGAGGTACTCATAGCACCTAATCCTGCCTCTAGTGCCAAATTACTTAGAATTTAATAATAGTAGTAGTAGTAATAGTAATACAGTCTGATATAATTTGGCGGCAATCACTTGACTTTAATATGTAACTATCAGGCTTGGATGTTCATATTTGTATATACAGAATGTAATTGATATTTGCATGAACTCAGATAAAATTAATCCTACATTGCTAAAGAAAAATCTGCAAAATAATTGTAACATGTTATCTATAAGCCTATGTTAGTATTAACAGATTTTACATTTGCATTGTAGGGTTCCTTAAGTTGGATTCCTGAAATTAGCAGAATTTATTTATTCATCATCATCTCTTAAAATTTTGACTGAAATTTAGGATTCAATTGAATTAAATACATATAGTAAATGAAAATTAGTTCTTTAATGAATTTAACACACAATTTATGTTCGTTGAAGTAAATAAAACTAATGAATCTGTGACTTAAATGAAATCCTTATATTTGATATGTCATATATATATATATTTCTATGTTAGCAATATATATATATATATATATATATATTTCTATGTTAGCAAACTGCAAAACCAAACATTATTAAGAAGTAACATCAACACATCAAATTCTAAAGTAACTTTTCATGCATCATCTTTTGCTCAAGGCACATGCAGCACAATTTCTTTAGGAGTATGAGAACATTACAGGCAACAGTTGACCAAATGTGTCCACTTTTGTTTGACAATTGATCATCAGTCAGTAGTGTAGATTCCTGTTTATTTGTTTCATCATCAGAAAGTGTTACGGATTGTACAAAGACATTATCTTCAAAATTGGATCCACCTGCATCAAAGTCAGAAATTATCATCATTGCCAAGCCAAGTTTACCAACTTCATCATAGTTTGAGTCATTAAATTTTATAGTCATTCTAATGTATTCAGCAAATTGTAATTCTACATCAGAGGATTATCCCAGCTTTATATAGCCTACAGAACTGACAAAATGAAAACAAATTGACTTAATATTACTTGCAGACATTGACTTGTAACATTAACATGTGGAACACAACTCTAACATTCTAAAACTTGAAAGCCAAACAAGATTATTCCTAACCTGCAACAGCAGATGAAAGTTAATGTTTTCAAATAAGAATACAAAAGACTGTGTGCTGTCATCTGCAATGCAAAGAAATGTCATGAAATTAAAATTTCACTGGGGTTACTGGTAACCTCTGCTAGCATTCTATTGCTTAGATGCATTATCCAGATAATAAGATAGATCGAAATCAAAATAGAATAAATGATGACAACAAACAAATATAAATGTTAACGTTATATCAATACACATTATAGTTTAGCATGTATTGATATCATTTTCAATTTGCATTAATTACAAAGTTGAAAAGGTGTCGATGGCTACTTCATATATAACCTGACTAGCAAAATAAAATTTCTGGAAACTACTATTAAAATTTGATTAGTAAACCTATCAAATATCAAGTTAGACTAAATAAAAAACATTTAAATTATGAAACATGTTTATATACACCTAAATTATAATAAATACATTTGTAGTTATTGTTAAATAAGTTTAGATCTATTCAAAAATGAGCAATTTGCAATCAGTTTATATAAGAAGATTTACAATGCAAATCTATTGATTTACATTCAGAAGTGTAAGTTAAATCTTTATAATTAGTCATAAATTAATTATAAAAGATTGTGATTCAGCAAACCTAATATTTGAACATGATAATACAATACTATTAAAAGCTTTTTCTATAGATAAAGTCTAATGTTAGTAATATTTCAATCAATATAATGACAAATTTCTCTCTTTATTTTCTCGGCAAACTTTATAACATTAAACACGAATAAAATTCACAGTTAAAAATACCAAATAACTTAATTTAAATCTAACGACACGGAAACGAATAATATCGGTAACCCAACCGAAAGTTTGTTCGGTAAAATTTGGAATTTTACGGTCCTAAAATCGACGTAAACGTAACGACAATATTAACGCTTTAAATAGCAAGCTTAATGAAAGTTTAATACAATAATACAATGTAATGACAATAATAAAGGAATACACCTATACCTAATTATAATTACAAATAAAACATATGCAATATATCCCAGTTTGAAAAAATCAATATAGACTATTTAGTAAGTTCTGGTGTTAATTTAAATATACCCATATTTACAATAATCACAATGCTTTTGTAGTAAATCTTAGAATAATAATGAATCAAAAATGTCACATCAAGAGATACTTTCTTCTATAATTATGTACTTTAAAATAAAATAAAATATTAAAAAAAAGACATTGAATTTAAAAAAATGTAGGCATTTTTAATGGAAATTATGCATAAAAAAAGCTGTCATGTAAGAAGTTTATAGAGGAAAAGCGAATTTAAAAGGTGCATTGTGACAGTGAAGATAATAAAGGTATTGTACAGTACACATTACCTTTTGGGTTTCCAATGTCTTCTGAAAACACCCAGCATGAGGATGACGATTGTAGCCAGGGCCAAAGACCAACACTCCAGGGACAGCACTTTAAATTCTTTGAATACGATCAATCTTTCATTCAATGTCTAATTTCTATTAAATAAATGGACGATCGTCAGAAAATTCGATGCAAAAATCATCTGGCATCAACACAACACGTCTTTGGTACGTATTCCGATTTTGAATATGAATCGAACGATATTATAATTTTTATCATAGAACAGTCGAAATTATCCTTTCGTTATCCACACATTACGTCAAAGGACGGATATGATATAAAGTTTCGGTTCGTATTCCTTCTACAAATCTTATATCGAAACCGAACGATTCGGACATGTTCACTCTGTTTACATCCACCACCTTCGTCGACCTTCTGCTACCATAACACGGCACGGACAGCCTACGGTCGATCGATTATCTCCATTAACATCCCTTTTATCGTTTAATTTTCGTTTCATATTTATAACGCGATATACGTAAATAGTACCAAAAAACAACGTAAACAACAGTTGAAACTAATAAACATCAAAATGGTATTGTGTGACGTCACTAGCTGCGGAGACTGGAACCATCGATCGGATCGTGCGCGCGCATCGTTTCGACCCACCGCAACATCTGAGGCTGAGCTAATCAATGCCTTTTTTTTTTTTTTGTTTATATCCTCCAGATGAAAGTTTCTTTGTTCTTTATTCCTTCGTTACTTTTCTTCTTTTCTATATAATGAGATTCAACGCTTGCAAATCGTTGCAATTTTTTTTTTTTTTCTTTCTCGCCAGAAATAATTCGAAGGTTTAGCTTGACGACCAGAAACGCACATACTATATATATATATATATATATACAGTACCTTTAATTTATACGCAGGCATTTTACATATATATAAGGCGCTAAAATTACTATAACCCATTTAAATTATTCCACGTGCGTACTTTCCGTCCAACGAAGTGAATCATAAAAAAATCTGGTGTGAATCATAAAAAAAAATCATTAAAAATCAAAATAAACTATGAAAACAACAAAGTTTAACTATAATAAATTCTAATTATAAATATCAACATTTATATAAAAAAACAACTTGAAATTCATTCTGTATTTTTTTTTTTAATTTAATATTTAATTTTACAAATGTTTCCAATGGGTTAGAACTGTTTTAATTTATTTTTAGAATGTTTATACAATAGACATATTATTATAGGAGGTAAAAATAATTATAGCTAAATTAATGGGGCTCCAGTGTGAGCTGTCATAAACATGAACTGTGTATATAATTTATTTTTATTGAATGTATTTTATTTCCTTTAATAGAAACAAAATTGAAAAAGTACATTACAGTAATAATAAATAAATAGTATAAAAGTCTTTAGAATACAAATATTAATAAAATGTTACTTCCTGTCAGAAACAAAGTTTCTATTAATGGATATGCTATATATATTTTATTTCTATTCAAAAAATAAAAAAACTATAAATTTTCATATGTTATTTTTAAATATTTGATCAAAAGTTGTCATAATTTTGGCTATTATATAAATAAATTAAAGTTAAAAAGATATAATTATTACAAGGAAATAAAAGCATGGTTTAAAATAATTCATTGGTCTTAATTTTATAACCCAATAAGACTATATAATTTTGTTTTCGGCTAATGACAATCAAAATGATAAACATATATTTGATTTTATGCTATTATTATTTTAGTATTTAAATTTAATTCAAACAATTCAATGTTTCGCAAGACTTTTTTTATTGTATTTTTTAATTCAATTAAACATTTTTTTATAATTTCAAATATTCAATTTAATAACTAAAAAAAAAATTCATACATTGGTATAAAAAAAATACAGCTTATATTTTTTCACTAATCATTCTTCCAATGGATATAATATCTCCACTATAAACTGCTCTAATATATGGAAGATAAATTTAAAATTATGGACATCATTTATAAATAAAAATTCTAGAAATTACGAAATAATTCATGTTAATAATATTTCATTTAGTAGAGGATAAACAAGCCACTGTCATAATTCAGATGAATTAAATGAATGCAGCTTTAACAGGGTGAAGTTTAAAGAACAATAACATTAACTGGGTCAAAAATGTTAGCATTCTTTAAAATTCAAGGTGCACTAATTAATTAAACTATTTCATTTAGATTTTTAAATTTTTATATACCCAAATTAATTTTAAAATTTTATTAATTGTACGATTTCAGCAAAGCCGAGTAATCAAATTAGTAGTAGTAGGTCTACTGTTCTAACTAGTTAAACTGTACAAACAAACAGTTATTAAACCTTTAATAACAATAATTAATTTTATTTATAGCAAACATTTTTGGCCACAAATTTAATGGCCATCTTCAAACTACAGAAAGAAAACAAAAAAAATTCTAACCAAATAGAACAAACTACAGAATGTCAGTTCAAATTAAAACCAAATTAGTACTACTTATATCGGTATTAAAATGATTTAGTGTACTTATAAATAATCGTAGGTTATAATTTTATTAATGTTAACAGTTTAATAAAATTAAATTAAATGTATGCAGCAAGAAAAAAATATTAAGATAAAATTAAACCAAGTGAAACATATACAGTACTTTTAATAAAAATGGCCTATAGTAAGGTTAAACAATATTTTATTTTTCTCATTACAAAAAATAATTAATTAATTAAAATAGGTTACTTTATTATGTAATTTACAATTTACTTTTTAACATGATATTGTTTCTATACTGTGTAATTAAACTTTGAATTTGTTTTTAATCTTTTATGAATTAACAACTATGTGCATATTATATATATAAGTTTGAAAAATTAAAATGAAAAGTGTTTTATATCATGTAACACTGAATTAATAACATCAGCAGTAGCAGATCAAGAAATATCCAAAGAGGGAGACTAACTGAAAAATTAAAAATAATTTAAATAATTAATAAGTACTGTATCTTTTTTTTAACACATGCATGATAATTGTATTGTGAATGGTCTGATAAACCATATTTGTCATCATAAACATTTTTAAGAACAATATTATGAAGTTTGAACAAATTAATTTTAATTTTTTGTGTTAATGGGAAGAACTTAAACCTTTGTATCTATCCCCTCAGATCCACTGTTGAATATCACAGTGATTTTGGAGCAGAATATTCTAAATTAATGCAATATAATTATATTTATTTAAGACATATAGCAATTTGCGATTATTTCCTGATCTCACTCAAGAGACTAGAGATTGTAGAGCAAAAATTCTTCCGTTTTATATTGAAGCAAAGAAAAAAGGTATGCAAATTTTATTAAGAAATGATGATTATGTCATTTATAAGAATAAGAAAATTACTTACAGCTTTATAAAGAATTGCTTGGTTGATACTAGATCTTTTTTAGATGTAGAAATCAATTGACTAATTTATTTAGTATTGTGAATACCAATGTTAACAACAATAGTAGCAATAACTTGGACGAATTAAATTCAGCATTAGACAGACTGAGATCAAGGTCATTAATTGGAATGCCGAAGGTGTTAGAAATAAGTTTTTTCTAATTATTTCAAAAAACTATTAGAGAACTATGAAATTATAGGTCTGGAGGAGACTTGGATTATTAAACTAACTGTAAAGGAGATAGATCTTCTGTAAGCATCATTTAATTATATTTTGGTTTCAGCAATAAAAAAAACCGGGAGTTGGTAGGATGAAAGGAGGAATTATGCTATTAATAAAAAAATCCTTGGAAAATTTGGTTTATTCACATTGGAGTACTTACCTAATATTTGTTATGGTTAAATTAGAAAAATCATAATTTTAATAGGTCTCCCAATGGATATTTGGCAATCATTGTTAATTATTTTCCTCCCTACGAAATGCTCCAAACCCCATTTCAGGAAGTTGAGATGATCTTTTTGAATTGGTCTCATTTCACCTCATTGTGGTTAATTCTTGGGGACTTCAATGCCAGAATTGGAAACGAATGTGATTCTTATTATAACGGGAATAATCAGGTGGTTTATAAGAAGTCACGATACAAGAAAGGAAATTTACTAATTAAATTTGCTACAAGTTATGATTTTTTGTATTTCAAATGGCCGTATGGTAGGGGACTATCCTGGTAGACATACTTTTATTTTGACGAGAGGTACATCAGCGATTGATTATATATTATGTTCTGAATTCATTTTGGACCACTGTGTCGGTTTTAAGGTAATTGATAATGATTTATCAGATCATTTTCCAATACTGTTAACTATCTATCAGATCAAGCAATAAGTTACCAACTTCTAATGAGAAGACAAGTAAAGGAGTCAATTTACAAATGAAGTAATATAAATATAACATTGAAAAATTTGAGTCTGAAATAGGTGACAGAATGAAGCTAGTTCAAAAGGCAAGTTTCAGCAAAATTTATAATAAATTAAGCAAAATTTTTAATGACTATATTATCGAATTGAGCCCTCGTAGAATTAATTACTTAATCAAAATGACATCTAAGTTTAAACAGGAGTGGTTTGATCTGGACTGTTATAGGGCCAAGAGACTCAAAGAATATACTCTGGCATTATTCCATAAAAATAGATCAAGAGAACGATTAATTGAATATAGTGGTTCAAAAAGAAGATATAATAACCTTATGAAGGCGAAGAAAAAAAAGTTATTTTAACCTGTTGAACAAAAAACTATTATTAAACAAGGGTGGTGAAAAAATATTATCTGAGGACTGGGATGGAAAACCAGGATCATATCGATTTTGTTAAATGGTTTGATTTTTTCAAGAAGAGGAAATCGGATATACCAATTAATTTATTACAAATAGATGTAGTCGTAAGGTATGGTAATGAGATGGTGATGAATCTGCCAATACAGGCCTCTGAAATAGTAAAAATTATTAATAAACTAAGTGAATCTACTACTGTCGGACTCGATTTAATGCCAGTCTGTTTTCTAAAACGATTGCCAATTGAAGTGGCTGAAGTTTTGGTGCTTAGTTACAATTATATATATAAACATGGTATTTTTCCTGAATCGTGGTGCTCAGCATATTTTTGCATGATATTCAAAAGGGGTGATGTTCTAAATCCCAGTAATTATAGACCCATTGCTATATTGTCTACATTAAGAAAAATCTTTACATCAGTTCTTGCAAATAGGTTTGATCAATGGACAAGAGTGAATTCTTTGATATCTAATTCACAATTTGCATTCGTCAAGAGGAGTGGAACGGAAGTTGCAACCTTTGTATTGCTCTCAACTATTCAAATTCATTTTTCTAGAAAAAGATGCAAAGTCTACACAGCCTTTTTAGATCTAGAAAATGCTTTTGATTTGATATCAATAGAAAAACTGTGCTAAATTAAAAATACATGGTGCAGATCCTATATTTATAAAAGCGATAAAATCTTTATTTGGACACTATTTAGTTACAATTAAAAGCGGTAGGAATACTTACCCTCCTTTTGACATATGTTAAGATCTCTTGCAAGGTGACCCATTATCACCTTACCTATTTAATTTCATAATCCATGATATTGATAAACAATTCAATAGGGAAGAGGATGGAATTCCAGTGGGAAATCAGACAGTCCATTCAATTCAATATATGGATGTAGTAGTGTTAATTTCGACTACTAAAATTGGTCTACAGAGAAAACTAAATCAGATGCAGAGATATTTTTTTCAGTTGGGAATGAAGATTAACCTAAATAAAACTCATATCCTTATATTTCCAAGAGGAGGAAGAATGGCTAAACAGGATCACAATTTTTACCTTCTAAATGACAAATTGAAAGTAGTTGAAGAAATTACATACATAGGAATTCATTTTACTTCAATACTATCTTTTGGAAAACATGTCTGACAAGTTCAAAATAAAGCAAATAAAATAATAAATAATTAAATTTTTTTTATTAGTGAAAATGAAAATTATTTCTATACAAAAACAATTTCAGCTCTTTTCATCAATTGCCATAAATTCGATATGTTATGTTCTCCCAGTATGGGGCATGGATTGGTTATCTTATTTCAAGAAAATCCAAATATTATTGATAAGAAAAATTTATTGTCTGGACAGGGCTGTACCTGGTTATGCAATTTGTCATGATACTAATAGGTTACAATTGGAGCCATATATGGTAATAAAGATTATGAGGTTTTATAAGAGAATGGCCAACAGTGAGAACACATTGATAAACACAATATTGAAAGTACTTAATAGATTAGCTGAGGTTAAAAGGAATTACACAAATAATTGGTAAAATAAATTTAGTCTTGTGTTGGCCAGATATAGGATATCATCACATATTTTATTTAACAATACAGAAGCCAATTAGAACTTCAGTTTTGTTACTTTAGTGGAAAATATGTTTAATAACTCAATTGACCAAGAAATGAAAAAATTACAGAATTCAAAATTTCATTCATGGTATATTAACAATTTAAGCTTTCCTCCTTCGAACAATTATATTAATTTTCAAATCCCCATTTAAGATTAAATGATTTTATATGCAACTTAGGTTGAACAGTTTCTATGTAGTAGTCGACTCAAAGTATCTAAATATTAAGAATAGTCAATGCATATTTGCATCAAGATCAATTTTCTATCTACCATTTAATTTGTACATGTAATAGATGTATAAATTTTAGAGATCAATTCAGTATTTCTACTTTGTGTATAAATCTATAGAATAATTTTACAAATGATTTCAAATGGGTCCAACTATGATAATTAGAGTATACAATTTTTTTAACAAATACAGAGGACTACAGTGGTAATATAGAAAACGAGCCTCAAGTCTGAATTCACTGATTTAACTCTCTGTCATCAAGTGCTACGGAAAAATTTCCAACATCATAGGAATTATATTTTTATTTTAGTTCAACTTTTGTTTATAGTGTGTTAATTTATTGTAACCCCCTTGTAACTGGATAAATTCCATATGTTAATAAATTTGAATTTGAATTTAAATTATATTTATTTAAAAGATCTGATTAGGAAAAAATTAAATCAAAATATTGAGTACATAGAGTTTAGAAAAGTTAAATGGTACTCGTATTTTGTATTCATAGTAATAAATTTATTATGAACGCATTTTATGAAATTTTTAGCTTATAAATAAATTTATATCTTTTTAAACCAATTTTAATTAGGGAGTTAAAAATTAGAAAAAAATAAATACCTACTCATAGTTAAATATTTATCTTAAAATACTTTCACATTTACAATATTTAATATTAATTGTATCCTATAAAATCAGATTTTAATTGGTTGTTAATAATAAAAGAGTATTTAATTTGATAGACAAACAAATAAAATTGTAACTCTAGGTCATCTACTCATTATAAGAAATTACAGAGAGTTTACAAAGACATATTTACTTAATTTTATATACTTTGTTTGTTAATTATATTGTGAAGAAAGAGTTAATTAAATTTACTTATGACAATATCTAATTAATCAGCTTTGAAACTGATGAAATTGTTTCAGAATGTAATATAATTCAATTGTTCCACATTCAAAATTATGATTCATTAAAATAGAAAACAATTTATAAAAAACAACTAAAAGTTAATCTGATACAGCAGTTAAATAAATTAAGTAATTATCCATGAATATTTTTTTTAAACTAAAATACAAAAACTTTAGAAGCTTTTTAATTAAATGTGGTGTTTATTAAAATAAAAAAATAATTTTGATTTTTTTTCTGTAAAAAACTACAAAATTATTTTTCAAATGTTTGAAGTTTGCTAAAATTAAAATCAAACTTTATTTTTTATAGTTTTAATTATCTTATATTTATTATACAAAAAAAATAAACTTTTTAAAAATGTGATTGAAAGACAAATTATAAAATCCAATACTGTACAGTACAGCCTCGAAAACTCGGCCACACCCTGGCAGGGCAAAAAAATCCTTAGTTAATTAATTTTCATTATAGACAGCTTTATGCCTCATAAAGTATTTTTCTAAGGTCTGTCTTATCAGGTAAATTACTGTACACTGTGTATTCATTAATTTTCATTTTCATGTAGTAAAGGCTCTATGCCTTCATAAAGGACGTACTTTTCCTTTAAGGGTATTTGGGCAGTTTATTCTCTGTTGTATTCTCAAGCAAACAATACATACAAGTACAGTACAATATTTTCTGAGGAAACACGCATACTTATCCTTTTTTAACCCCATTCCCGAAAACCCGGCATTTTCACAAACTCGGCCACCCTTCGGTCCACATTAGGCCGAGTTTTCGAGGTTCTACTGTAATAAAATTATTACCATAAAGCAGTTTTTGTTCTTCCGATTTTAAGGCCGTTAATTCATTTTTACATTTTTGGCGTCTTAGACATTTATTTTCGTCAAAGCAGACAAAATCCGCGCAAAATTCTTCCACTCGGTGGCATAACTTTTCTCTTTCGACGGCCAATTCTTCTTCTACCACATTCTAAAGGAAATGACANATCCTGCTTTTTTTTGCCTTTTAAATTTAAAAAATAATGTTTGTTTATTTTGATTAGTAAATTATATAATAATGATAATAATTAAATTATTGTCCTTATTATATATTTATAAGATTGCTGATTTGGAAAATTTGCATTATAAAAGATTATGTTTGCACTAACTGGAGAGCTAGGGAGAAAGTTAAAACTGTATTGTCATTGTACTTTTATTTTCTAGAAAGTAGCATCTTTACAAAAAAATAATATTGATAGACTAACTCTCATCACTAAGAAGTTGATCATGATCCAAGCCCACAAGTTACAGCATTGTGATTTAGAATTTATCTGCTACTAAGTTATGCCAAAAAGTTCCACTTTACTTAGATTATATTATGCAACTGGTTCCCAAAAAGTCTTCCTTTATTTGTGTTAGGTTTCCTGCTTGCATTAGTATTTTTACATAGCAAACTGTTCCAAGATTTAATCTCCACTTAAAATACGTTTTCATTTTATAGAGGGCCCATTTTACACAGGTTATACATATTTCAATTATTTTAAAGTTTAAAATAACTGAAATATGTATACAATTGACCCCCCTATAACATTGTTGATAATTCCGTGTTATATGAATTCCATATTGTACGAGTCACTTAGATTTTACAAATATGTGTGCCGGGCTGTGAACGGCTTACATATTTGTAAAATCTAAGTGACTCGTACAACATGGAATTCATATAACACTGAATTATCAACAGTGTTATAGGGGGGTCGACTGTATATATATCAGCAGAAATCCAGACCACTATATATGAATTCTCATATAACTGAAATTTTTTTTCTGTAAAAAATAACTATACTTTTTATTTTTGCCTGGCAAATGGTTTCATTCATAAAACAAAGTTAAAAATTAAAATTCATTATGTATTAAAAAATGATGATTTAAATATATATTTTAAGCTTTTAATTAACATCTATTAACAATGCTATTAAAACAATACAATTTATAAGTTTTGGATTCTGAATTATTTTCTCAATATTATATCATAAAATATAAAAACAACATATATAAAATATTTTAATAAGTAGCAGAGAAGAGAAATAAAATTTGTAATTATTGTAAAAATGAAATTTTATTATATAAATACATATTGAAAACTGTCTGACAAATATTTCTGTAATTTTATACAAAATTAAAACAAAATAAAGAAAATAATACCCGTTTAAATTAAATGCATTAAACTGATAAACAGGATTGCAAATATAAAATAACTTAATGCCTAAATTGATATCAGATGTCACTACATTTGTTTTGAATTTTAGAATATGTTTAACAGATAAAGTATAAACATGAATACTGTTTTCAATAATTTTGTAATAATTTTACTCAATAAAATATTTTCTATATTCTATGTACTGGTATAATACTTTACAGATCCTTGTATTTCTAATATACTTAAGTTTAATTTAATGTTCCATGTTAATATTGACTATTATATTATTTCTGACCAATAATAATGTAGTTCATCAATAAAAAATGACTGCTGAAATCTTGAATGGTTTATGAAGTTATTTTTTATTGATAAACTTATTCACAATCTGATGTATGTCTTGTTTCACTACAACTATAATAATTTATATACTTTTTTTCTTTAACTTTAAATAAAAACAAATAAGCATTATTATGAAACTTTCATTAACTTTTTGGTTTTATCTAAATATCATAAAATGCAACATTATATGACATAATGAAATCATAATCTAAACACACAAATTTTAGTAATTTTGCTCAAAAATTGCCCAGTTACATTCAGATTAATTATATAATTTGGTGATTTCGATTAGAATTAGTTATATTATCATCTGTTGATTATGTTAAAAATTAATTTATTTCATATTTAGTTAATTATAGATAATTCTGAAAAATATTAACCTGAATTCAAATATGCAATTCTATCTATTTATAGTGTACAGGTGTGCTGAGAGTTATATTATTCAGATGTAAAAATAAAATATCTTCAGGCATAAATCACTATTATTATTATTATATACAAGTTTAAACTAATATATATCTGGAAAAACTCTGGCTTGGAATCTACGTGGTATAACTGGCAACATATTTGCATGTTACACAAGAGTTATGATTGAAATTCCATTCTACAGTTATGCTGTTTCAGATGTATCCAAATTTAATTATTTCCAATTTACTACTTATTAATATAATTATATAGACACAGATGGCATTATGCCTGTTTCGGATCAAATATGAAATTACTAATTAAATCAATTGGCTTCTAATACTAGTGCCAAAAAATCTCAGAGTTAATGCTACGTACAACATATCAAAAGTTATTTTTGGCAGATTTTTGTGACAGTAATCAATACATAAAACTAACATATTAGTGGAAGATTGTATAACGAACTAATATTTTATTTCAGTGACAAAATTCTCATCTATGAAATGAATAATTACTAAACTTTGTATATTCTTTTAGTATAATATTTTTAAATAGTTAATCTTCAACAATAAACTTTTATCAGCTAAACAACATATGTAATAAAAATATTTTTTTTACAATACAAGATTATATTTATAGAGTAACATAAAAAATACTTGTGTGTGTTGACTACAAACATTTGAATAGCAACTAATTTTATATAATAATGTATACTTTTATTTAAATATTTCAATCATTTATTTACATCCTCTGATTTTTCTGTGACATTTTCTGAAGAATTATTTTGCTTACTATGTTGATCTAGAATTCGATTCAGTTCTGTTAAGTGATGAGACAATGTAGTAATCATCTGAGTAGAACTTAACATTAAAGTATTACATATCTGACTCTGCATAATCTCTAAAGATGGAAGAGTGCTGTAATTTAAAAGTTCTTCACGACTTAAGAAATGATTATCGATGATTCCAGCTAAAATAAAAAATATAAAAGACAAGTTACAAATAATTGAAATATAATGAAATTTGTAGATTTTATATCTTAAAATTTTATCATTTTAAATATTAAATACTTAAATATTTATAAATAAATGGTTCAATTTTATTAATTTTTATAATCAATAGCAGCTGTTAAAAATTTTTTATTTTGAAACATTTTTAATCTTTAGTAACTAGTTCATAAGTAGCATTTACTAGCTCATTTACATCAACATATATAAATATAATAATATGCAAATTTAAACAATTTTTATAACTAATTTTGGAGCATAATCATTCAATTTATTATTATTCAATTTAAAAATGTTTAAACTCTAAATACAGTCAATTCTACTTATTGTAATCACAGAAATCATCATCAGTTGGTTCACCTTATTATGTTCTTTTTTCATGTTGTCAGCCTCAACATGTTGTTGAAATGATTTTTCAAAAAAAAAAAAAAAAAAAAAATAGATATTTACAGTAGAGCGTCATTTATCTGAAAGAATTCCAGTCGGCAAATTTAAATTTTTGCCAGTGCTGTGGCGCTGCAATATTTGGCTATGTCTGGGCTACTCAAATATTTTACGGTTTTGATACTAAATTAACTTCTGAAGTATAATTTTTTATTGTTTAATTTTTCAATATATTTATTTTGTTTGTATAAAATAAAAAATCATTTTTAACGATACAATAGTCTTTGTTAGGCTTAACATGGACAAAAATTCAACACAAAGCGACACGCAACGGAGAAAAATTTCAACATGCGATAGGTTAATATATTTTTTCATACATAATCAGTTATCCGAAATATCGATTTTCCGAACAACCCCAGTCCCCAAATGATTCGGATAAATAATGCTCTACTGTAATTAGTATCTTAACATTTAGTTTTTTTTGTATTTTTAGTGACAAACATTTAGATTTAAAAAAAAATCTATTCATTTTAGTACAGGTAACTAATAGAATTTATAAGAACATGTTTTAGTGTTTATAAATTTTTTTATATATATTAGCTGGATGTATTTATGATTAATTTTATCATTATTCAAATTTCTCAACAGCCAGAATTGTTGTCAGAAGATATTAAATTTTTACAACTTAAATTTTTAAGTTATTTGAAATATTTTTAGAATCAATAGTGTATTTAACAAAACCAAAACTAGAATAATTCTAGTTTGTATAGAAACAATATCTTAAATATTAACAGTAAAAATATAATTGTTTTTATGAAAGAATTTACACTCTTAAGATGAGTCTGCAAGGCTTAAATAAGTGCTTGGGTTTTAATGTTTGGAAGATTTACTCTAGTAAAGCATGACTTCTTGTTACTTTGATTTTCAGAGTAACTTTGAAAATTTTCAAATTAGTTCATTAGCATTTTCTCTCAACACATGCAAAACAAATTATTAGTATGTGAAATTAATATGAAACTAGAGCAGAATATAGACCAATGCCTATAAAATTTTCATGATCTTTCTAATGGAACATACTACAGGAATTTTCCAACACTTGATGGTCCACACCTCTTTTAATCCAGATAGAATTATGATAGGGCATTTAAAATTCTTAATATTGCCAAACTAGTTTACTGCATTTTGCTGAATTGCCACACATGTATGTGTTGACTTGGATTGTCTACAATGTAATTGTTAGTGATTTCTCTCTTTTCTGTGACTTCTAGTTCATTTTATTTAGAAGTCATATCTAAGATTAATGTCAGAAAGATGTTAGTTGTATAAAATGTAAATATCAATCCATATTTAATATATGCAAATTCAAGTTTCTAGCAGTCCACAAATGCTTTAGAAACATGGAAATTATATAATTAGTGATCCAGAATATAATATTGAGTTATAAATATGTGACCTTGGTTGGTCTGGCAAAGCTGTTAATCCAGCAAGGTTTTAGAACAAAGTGTGTCAGAAAATTGGAGGTCAACCTGTTTATGCAAGTATAACAAGATTCATTAATGTTTTAAACAAATATACAAGGTTAAAGATTGCCATTGAACAGATTAACATTAGACTATTATTGTTTACATTTCTAAAACTTTCTAGATAAAATTCAATTCAATTTTGTGTATATAATAATTAGCAATAGAGGAAATTATATATATTATTATATCAGAAAAATATATACAGTATATATATATAATCATAGTTAAAGAGCTTTGAGAAACTATTACAAATTTATGATAAAATATAAATAACTCTAGACACCAAATACCAATACAAAAAGCTGTCACATAACTGTCTATCAGTGTTATGAAAAAAAAGTTGTTTTGCAAGTACTTTTGACAGTATATAACTGTCCTCTTCAGGCAATATCATTCATAGAGAATTCAAATGTTCAGTTCTCTATAAATGAAAATAGACAGTTGTAAGACTTAGCTTTTTGTACAAGTTTGTGATGTATTAATATAAGTTGTTCTAAATCTTATATTTTTGAAATCCAACAGGGAATCATAAAATTATATAATCTGGAAAATATTTACATTTGTTAACCTGTCCCGTAATCTTCCCAAAATATCTCAGATCGAAACATAAATGACCTTGACCGGTGGATCCGACATATCTCTTTTGTGCATCGGAACATTTTTGACACTAGATGTTGCAAGTTGTTATAATTTTTATATTAAAACTAACTTTTAAAATATAATTATTTTTGTTTTTACATTTTTTAATATGTCTATTTTGGTTGTGCGAAATAAAAAATAATTTTGACAAAACAATAGCCACAATTATTTTTTCTAAAACATGTAATTTTCATTAAGCTTAACATCAACAAAAATTCAACATGAAGGAACATGCATCAGAGAAAAATTTCAACATGGAATAGGTTAATAAAAAATAAATCATTGTATTCAAGGTATCCCAGGAGGAAAGATCACTATTCCAGGAGGTATAATGATAGGTTATTTTAATCAAAAAGTTAATGTAAGCTTGTGCTCTATCCCAAATTGTTTCCAAAATAGAGCTGAAATCAGTTATTACTATTTTCTTTCCTTCTCATTATTCTGTGGTGTCATTTGAGGTGTCAGTTGTCAGTTAACTGTTGTGACTATAAAAATGAATCAATGTGAAGGTTGTCTGTTCTGAGTGTAGAAGTGTTTGCTAAAAATGCCAAATAAAGTCTCACTAAAAGTCGAATGAGTAGATTTACTTCTGTAATGGTAGTACTCTTGCTTTTGTTGAAAAATACTATTGGCACTTCCTACATGTCAAATTCTGTATCATAGGATGTTTTCCATAGTTTTCACCCCATTCATGAAACACCATTTATTCAGATGAAACATGAGCACTGGGAAGTGCTCATGTTTCATATGAATAAGAATATCAACAAGATGTGCAGGAACAGGAACACATTCTTGACAAGATTTAGCATAGTCTAACATTTAAAGATTTTCTGCACATCTCAGTGTTTCATGAACATGTGTATGCTAAACCCTACATAGAGGTTGCATCCATTACATTTGGAAAATCTTCAAAATGGGACACTGGAATTTTGTCACTGGTTAAATGCTAATCATGAAATGCTTCTAGCAATTTATTTATTTACTGATAAAGCCACTTTTATCCAGAATGGAATCAACAACAGCAACACTCATCAATGGTCCCATAAGAATCCAATTGATACAGTGAAAACAAATTTTCAAGTTTCTTTCTTTGTCAATGTATAGATAGTGTGATATAATTAATGACATATTGATAGGTTCCATTATTTTAGAACATTGACTAACAAGATACAATTAACTTCAGTTTTGCAAAATATATTAGGTACACAAGTAGAGGACATTGGTCCTTTGGTCACACTGTGTGCGATGTACTTTCAGTATGATAGGACCCCTCCACATACTCGTGAAGAACCATCTCTCCATATTTTCCCTAATTGGTGGGATTGGTCATGGTGGTGCAACTGACTGCCACCAAGATCTCTAGATCTAACCCATCAGATTTTTGTTTATGGAGTTGAATAGAGAGTAAAGTGTACCAAAGAAAGGTTGATACACAAAGGAACAAGCAGATACACTCAGACAAACAACATAACATGTTCGCATGAGAATAGAAAAATGCATTGAAGTTGACAGTGAAGTTTTTGAAAATTTATTATAAACTGTTGGAAATTTGTCACTTGAAAAATAAATATTTGCCTCTATCATAGAAACCATTCAGAATAAAGCACATGTTTATATGAACTTTTTTGTTTAAAATAAATTATCCTTTCACATTCCAGAATATTGTTCTTTTCTCTTGGGATAACCTGTATAAAAATGAACTTTGTTTTAAAAATGATAAAACTTTTTATTTTAAGAATTAAAAATATTCATTTTGGAACTTGCATGTTTGACCATTATGTTAAATTTTAAATTTTATTCTAATATGTTCATTTTGTTTTTGTTCTTTTTTGAGCAACTGATAAAGATACGTCAATTTGGGTCAAAAATATTTTTGTTTTCATTAAAACTACAGACGAAATTTAGTAAGATGTTCATTTTTTTTAATTAAAATTATATATATATAAAGTTTAATAAAAACTTTCAATAGAAATAATACTTTCATACTTACCTAATAAAATATACTGAGGCATTTTTTTTGAAAGTTTTAATAATCTTGACACATTTGGTTCAGGACTAAATAAATATGCTGAATATGACTGAACAAGACATAATGCAGCTTCATAAATAGTGCCTTGTAGAGCTAATTTCATGACAGAATTATTATAATGTCGTAAATACATACCCTATAATTCAAGAATGTTAAATTAATATTTTGAAATATAATAATATACGAAATACCAATAAAAATTATTTCAGTTTAAAATTATTAAAATTTCTATAATTTTAATTCTTTTTGATATTTATTCTAAAGAATTTAATTTAATAATATCAAAATCAATATTTTTACCTATAAGAACTTAGTCAATAATGAGACAAACCTTTCCAAGTTAGTTATACTGACCATTTTTAACTGTAGAATTTTTGTAATGAATAATATATTTTTAAATTGTTGAAATATATTATTATTCATTACTAAATTTTATTTTATATCAAAATATAATTATTTTAACACTGATTTTTTATTGTGATGTAAAATACTTACTTAAACAAATAAAAATTACATGTTCATAATATACAATTTTGTTCTATGCACAGAAAGCTACAACTTTTATAAATAAATCATAAGAACGAAAATGAATTTCGAATATGTGTTAACGGATGTTCCAAGATTGTAGAACCTGAAGAAGGCCATTAAAAATAGCCGAAAGCACTTGTTCTCTTATCTAATCAATTAAAGAAGTTGCTAGAAAAAGAGTGAAAGACTTTTGTGAAACTTATTTATACAATTTTGTTACATTTTTTAGTGTAAACAGATGTCTCTCTTTAGTGCCTGTTAATACTTGATTGCTTCTTGTTCTTTCTACATTCATTGGGGAATATGCACAAAATTGCTGTGTCATACAGGAACACACATGTGGCAAATAGAATAGACTTTATTATTTAACATAGAGTGGTGGAAATGCATTTTGGGCTGTTTGCTCCTCTTCAGTCCTTTTTTGTATAGCTGAGAGGTGTAAACCTTTGTGAGACCCGAAAGGCCCATGGGTCTTTATAGTGATTTTATTAATTATGTTAAATATTGTCACCAAATATTACTTCATTTTTGGTGAGAAAAATACTGTTTTAACGTGGGAAAAGGCAGATAACAGATGTTACTTCCTTTCACTGAAGTTAGTACATCCTCTGACTTTCCCTTATCTGGTTAAAATCCCGCTCAGATGGGAAATGGTTACCCCTCATTCATTCCCCTTTCATCCATTCTCATGAAAGAGTTACTGGCCGGTGATTGGTCAAAATTCAGAAGATATACAGGGAATTTGTCAGAATTCGGGGAGTTCAGCGACAGTTCTGGAAGCGTCCAAACTCCATACGTTTTCCTCCGAATGACCAACGTCCTTAGACGAGTCACATATAGAATAATTCCAGAGTTAGCACTTAGAAACCATACTTGGATTTTGTGCACATATTGATCTCCCATACGAAGAAGTAAATGAACTTTATCTCCAAAGTGTCCCTTGCATACAGAGAAGAAGACGAACGACAACTAAACAGGTCGTATGTTTTATAACGATTTTGTGAGCTCTCTCTCGATCGCGAATAGGGTATAATATAAGCTTAGCTATCTCTCGATTTGTACATTATTCGTAGTAGTTCTATCTCTTGTTCATTAAGAATTTTGTATGAGTTTTATTTTCCTGTTTTATTAAATTTATTATTTCGTTTTAATTAAAATGTCTCCTAATTGTGTGACCGAATCAGATCGCATACGCGTGTTTGTCCGCGGATCGATAAATTGACAAACTGGTGTCGGGACCCTGACATAGGAAGAAGGTGAATTCGCCCCCACCAACTTCCGCTCTAAATTATAATCTAACAGTAAAGCCCTCCACACTCGTTTCCCTACGTTTGGGAAAGGCCGTTCTTTGGACGACCGAGAACTGGTCTTACCGACTAGTGCCCGTAAGTGGCGTAGACTAAGATCTACGTCCAGGCTAATCTCACACCTTTTGGTTTGGTTTGTTCATTTCGCAGTTTAGTATTTTTTTGTAATATTTCTACAATGTTAGCAAGTTTTATCTTTAACTTTACATAGTTTCACTTGTTTTTGTTCTTTCTTGTTTTTGGTTTTAATTCTACACCTTTTTATCCAAGCCACAAATATTGTTTCAGAATTTATAATTGTACAAAAAAAGTCTGGAGAGGGGCAAACAGCCCAAATGCATTTCCACTACTCTGTACAGAAATAATATGTGTTAAATAATAAAGTCTATTCTCTTTGCCACGTGTGTTCCTATATGGTAAGTTCAACATGGCAATTTTGTGCATTTACCCAATGATGTCTTTCCACTTATTAATACTACAAAAGATATGCATATGTTTTCTGTCAAAAAAAAGTTCTTACGATATTAATGCTCTATAAAATTCTTGCTATTTTTCATATTCTTCAAAAAGAGAACTCAACTCTTTTTCAATCAATCTTCTGTTTCTAACAACAGACAACTCTCAAATTAACAGGCATAGAAACTTATTTGGTTTCATTCTCCATGATTAAAATCATTTGATATCTTGTTATGCAGATTATTTAATTAGTTTCTACATTTCTTATCATCTTAAGAATAATGATATGGATCAGCATTAAATAGATTTATTTGAAATTATGTAGGCTGTTTTTTTTCAACCTCTGATGGTCCATAAAACAAAGACAAGTGTAAATGACAAAATGAATTTACTACCAAAAGTTAGGTAAAAACATGATTACTTTTCAACATAATCACCATAAAGATTGAGGCATTTGTCATATCTGTGGACAAGCTTTGCAATCCTCTCTTCATAGAATGTTGCCACCAGTGACTTGAGATGGGCCTTAGCATTGTTTTGAAGATCATCATTAGTCTTGAACCTCTGCCCTCCTGGACATGTTTTCAGTTCAGAAAAGAGGAGGAAGTTTTCACACATTAAAGGTATGAAGACTTCCATCTTTCAGACTTCCACCCAGCTTGGAACTTTTTAAACACCCAGTGTATAGCCCTGATTTAGTGCCAAGCGACTGCCACCTCTTTCCTGAACTGAAAACATAGCTAGGAGGGCAGAGGTTTGAGACTAATGACGATCTTCATTAAATGTTAAGGCCCATCTCAAGTCACTGGCAGCAACATTCTATGACAAGAGGATGGAAAAGCTCATCCACAGATATGACAAATTCCTCGATCTTCATGGTGATTATGTTGAAAAGTAATCACGTTTGTACCTAGCTTTTGGTAATAAATCCATTTTGTTATTTACACTTGTTTTTGTTTTATAGACCATCGGAGGTTGAAAAAAACTGCCCTAGTATATATAGAGATAATATTAATATACTTGTACAATACAACTAATTTAAAGGAAAAAAAGAAAAAAGAAAGAAATTGAAACAATAAAACAATATGGTAAGTGATCATATTATAACTACTGATGAATCACACTATGTAAATGATATACTAATTATACAGAAATCACAACCAGATATTAGTAACATTCTGAAAATACAACAAAAATCCATACGAGCTCACGCTAAAATTAGATCAGCAGGATAGAGAAGCCCACTTCTTGGACGTTAGAATAGTAGTACACAATAATAAGATGTAAACTTCTATATTCTGCAAATCTTCATATACCATTTTTTTTTATTCATGCCACATCCTGTGACCCAACTCAGTACAAGATTGAAGCATTCAGATCATTAGTGTAGAGAGCTTTCTTTCAGTGTTTTTGTTAAATTTTCATCATTTAAAGTAGTTTTCAATATTCATTTACATGATTTGTTTTAACTTCTACATTTAGAATGACCTTAGGTTAAAATATATAATGCCATAATCAAAACTATCTTTTACAGCAACTCGTAGACTGGATCAAACTTTTAGAAATGGGCTTTAACCAGTGAAAAGCAAACTTAATTTAGTTAGATATAATTATTATGATATTTTTAAGCAGTATGGGATGATAACATCTTAGTTTTACTAAACAGGTTTATGCCAATATTTTCTTACTGTGTAATATTTTAATCAAAATGCCTTGGCTAATCACATACTTCATAGAATATACTATATATATAATCAAATTTCACTATGTATAACAACATATGATATATTATAACAAATAAATAGTCTCAAAATATCACTATTTGTCTGTAATACATGATATTTATACCTGTTTAAATAACATATTACTAATAATTCTTTTTTCTTCATCTGTAAGTGAATTATGGTGAAAAAAACAAACCATACGAGACGCATTCCATTCGTTCATTGCCTGTTTTGCAAGCAACTGTTCGTAAGGATGAATCTGAAAATACATACGAAAATTTCAATGTGGTATACGTTTTAATTCATTAAATTTAATTACTATTGTAAGAAAATGCTAGTGAAATGTTAGAAGAATTCCTAAATTTTAACTAATACAGATAATAAATCTTCTCATATATGGATATATGAGATTATAAAATAATTGAAATTTAACAACTTACAAATTTTTCTTCCTCTATTTTAGCTCGAGAACAACGTTGAAAGTCAGGTGTTTCATCCTTTCTATATATTGGTTTACAAACTTCCAACATGCATTTTCTAACAAAATGAGGTTCTCGTGGATTTCTAGATTTTATTCTTCGATATCTTACAGGAATTACATTGATATTGCAAGCATAATAACATTCTGAAAATTTAACATTCTATTAGCACCTAACATGTAAAATATAAATAACGTTTTAAATTTTAATGTAGTTAGCCTATGTCATGATTTAAAATTGCATTAGTTGTTAATAAATACAACAAAATTATTTGCAAGATTATATTTAGTAAAGTTAATATAAACAATTATCATATTAAAGAATTTTTGGATTCTTTTGTTTGGGAAATAACTAGGAAATTTTACAGTTGATTGTCATCATCAAACACTAATTAATATGAAATAATCTCAATATCTTTTAATAATACTCTAATTGCTTCATTCTAGAAATTTATCTTATATAGATATATATATATAAGATATATAAAAATACAATTAAAATTTAAGATTAAAATTGTCACAAACATTTTTTTTGTGGGGGAAAAAAATAGAAATGGCATAGGAATTGCTGAATTGCCACAAAATGTTTGAATAAGTGGGCAGTCTCTTGGGCAAGTGAGCACAGCAAGTGGAGAAAAACATCTCTAGTAAATCAATAATACGTGGGTCGTTCAATAAGTCCTTAGAAAATCCAATAGATGGCGCTCATAGCCTCAAAAATGGCACGTTTTTTGTAAGCGTGATGTCTCACTAGACAGTTGTGAAAATCTCAGTCATATCCATCATATGGTTTAATTTTTATTCTCAATTGAAGCAAGAAACTTTTGTTTATTTAGAAAAATGGAAAAAAGTGAGTTTCGAGCGGTGATTAAACACTTATATTTAAAAGGCTTAACACCAAAAGAGATCAAAGCTGAGTTGGATGAAGTTCATGGCACATCTGCTCCTGTGTTTGCAACTGTTTACAATTGGGTTAATGAGTTCAAACGTGGTCGTACATCCACAAAAGATGAACATCGTTCGGGACGTCCAGTGGAAGTGACTACTCCCGAAATGATTGACAAAATCCACGATATGGTTTTGAGTGATCGACGAATCAAAGTGCGTGAAATAGTTGAGGCCACAGGCATATCACAAGGTACAGTGTTTTCAATTTTGCATGAAAAATTGGGTGTGAAAAAAATCTCGGCAAGATGGGTGCCGCGTTTGCTCTCAGTGGAGAATAAACGTAATCGTGTGGTCGACTCTGAGGCAATTTTGGCACTTTTTCGTCGCAATCCTGACGAGTTTCTGCGTTGATACATAACTGTGGACGAAACATGGATACACTATTATACTCCAGAGACCAAAGAACAGTCAAAACAGTGGGTTTTTGAAGGCGAAAGGGCTCCAAAGAAGGCGAAGACAGTGAAATCGGCCGGGAAGGTGATGGCCACGGTTTTTTGGGATACACGCGAAATCATCTAAACCGATTACTTGGAAAAAGGAAAAACAATAACTGGAGAGTATTATGCATCATTATTGCACCGGTTGAGCGAAGAAATCAAGGAAAAACGTCCTCATTTGAAAAAGAAAAAGATCCTCTTCCATCAAGACAATGCACGGGTGCACACCTGTGCAGTTTCAATGGCCAAAATCACGGAATTAAAGTTTGAATTATTACCACATCCACCGTATTCACCGGATTTGGCCCCCAGTGACTTTTTTTTATTTCCAAATTTAAAAAAATGGCTTGGTGGACAACGATTCACGTCAAACGAGATGGTCATTGCCCAAACAAATGCCTATTTTGAGGACCTTCCGAAATCTTACTTTTTAGATGGCTTAAAAAAGTTGGAGAAACGCTTGGAAAAGTGTATAGAGCTTAAAGGAGATTATGTTGAAAAATAAAAAAAAAATCTACCTAAAATAATTTGTTTTTCTATCTTTTTCTAAGGACTTATTGAACGACCCTCGTATGATTTCAACAGTGTTCTTCAGTCTAATAATGCATTATTTCTAAGGGAAATATTGAAATATCGGCAATGTATTCTTCATTGCACTTGGCTGGATAGTATAATAATTACTTTGTAAAATAATAAATTTTAGTTATTTTATCACCATATAATACAATATGAAAGAAATGAATGGATCTAGCTAACATATAACTGAACATAGTAACTGAATACCGTAAGTGGTTAGATGTTAGAAGTTAATCAGTAATGTACTTCTCAATATCCAGTGTGGAAGCTGATGAATACGTAGATTTAGTATATTTTAAAGGAAGATAATATAATTTTGGCCCCATCTTTAACTAATAAAATCTCACACAACATCCATTTTGAAAATATAAAACATACAAATAAAGTAGACAAATTAAAAAAATCTGGGGTAGTATATAAAATAAGTTGTGATTGTCTAAACCCAAAAAATTATATAGGTGAAACAGGTAGGCAATTAGAATTGAGAATTAAAGAACATGAAGCTGCTATAAAATTAAAATACAACAATTCCCCTTGGTTGGATCACACAAATAATAGTAATTGCAGGATTGACTGAAATAACAAAAATATTATATTATGAAAAATAAATATATAAATGCAAATTTAAAGAACATATTGAAATTTAGTGAATTTATCGAATGGCATGCAAATTAATGAACACTGGCATAATGTANGATTTACCACCCATTTCCGTATCTTTCCTTGGGAGAAAGAAAACTATAGGTGTATGATCCGACAATAAGTTCTGATGTATTAAAAATTCTGACTCACTTATATTGGTTAACCCGAAGTCAATCAAGGAGTGAGTGTCTTTATCGAATCTGGTCGGTTGCCTCCGATCAGCCAAAAGTGATAAATTTTCTGACAGACAAAAGTTTAACAAGTCACAAGTATTAGTTGAAGAATCTTTAAGTAAATCTATATTAAAATCTCCAATAATAAGTAGGTTATAATTTCTTAATTTGTTAATTTTATAATGAATTATAGAATTTACTACATCAAAAAATAAACTGTATTTTGAAGCCGGAGATCGGTAAATAACTACAATCAAAACTTTATCAATAGCAATTGTCATCACATCTATGAACTCTTTAGTAAATGTCAAATCAGGTATTACCTCATAAACCAAATCCTTATTTATAAACAAAACTATGCCTCCGTGTTGGTTTGGTTGTCTTTCAATTTTTTCCATATTGAAATTATTTATTTTAAACGGAGGGTGAGTTTCATTAGTCCACGTTTCGCAAAAAGCCAGGATACCAAAGTTACAATCATAACCAGAAATAATGTGATTGATCTCCTGATATTATCTCCTGTAATGGAAACATGATGTATGTATGAGCCTTTTTTAAAATGGTTAAATCATTGTTCTATGTTTTTGTAAACCTGTTGTTTTAATTGCAGGTATTCTGATAATGTCTTAAAGTACACAATATGGTTTTAAATACCTTACAGGTATAGTTATAAGTAAGAAGATACCACATTATTGTTATTGTAATAATGTGTAAAGTAATAATGTATATTTACTGTTTTAAGGTTTTTAATTGTACCTGTGTAATAGTGTCATTCAATACACATTAATGTGTTTTTTTGGATTATACAAAATACCATTGTTAGTCATACAATTAGAAAAGCATTGCTCTGTCTTCTCAGGTATGTAAAAGAATTTATTTATTGTCTGTAGAAATCATCTTCACGTGAAAAAATTGGTAAATTAATTTTTTGCTTTTTATGCTTTATATGTGTAGCATTTACACTGAAGAGGGACTCATATAGGCCCGAAATTCATTTGTGATTTGCAATAAAGGAGTACCTAACCTTATAGCTGAGAGAAAATCTACTGTTTTTACTAATTCGGATTAAAGAGACATATACTAAATCTAGTAATGTACTGTAATTTTGTGCATATAACCTGCACTGGAATATACCCTGCAAAAGATTCCTAGAATAGAAACAAATTCTTTACATAACATGTATCATTGTATCTAGAGTAGCCACTGAAATTAACATTGGAAAGACTGAAAGCATAGTGGCTCAACCCAATCGCCATAGGTAGTGTTTCATGATGCTCCCTTTCATATTGCATTTACACACAAATAATTAATGATTTAACTTTAATTTTTACTTATAACATTTGGTACTTTTATGTTTCTCTCCTGTGTCATGTCATGCTATGGCACATGGTATAATACATTCCTGTCATGGCTAGTTGCATTGCTTATAAAACAACACAGCTTAATTAAATTATTTCAAATAAGGAATGTAAAGTGTGGAAAAAAATAAGAAAAGAAGAATATAAAGTGTGAAAAAAGAAAGACCAAAATCTGAATTTTTATTTTGAAATTTTTAAAAAGGATTTTTTTTTTATAAATAAATAAGTAATTACCTAAAACCAGCAATAATTCTCTTCAAAACGAAAGTTTTCTTCCATTTTTAACGGTCATCATCAGGTTTCCATGCATTAGAATGCTTGTAAGAGAATGCCCATTCCAAAAATGTAAAAATTGCATGTCTTGAAAATATGCGCATGCTCATGTAGCATTGATGACGATCTAATTTACGTCAAAATATGCCCTCCATGCAGCCGCCAATGAGGTAATTACTTATTTATTTATTGAATTCTATACCACTAATATCGTGGTGCTTGTATGGATGGTTTTCAGATTTTAGTCTTGGAATATATTATTATTTTAACAAAATATTTCAAATAACCTATTGTTTCCTTTTGTTTATGCAAATAAGTCTCTTCTTTCAGCTTTTTATGTTATGCATACTGCTGAGAAGAATGACATATTTGTTATCTATTTTCAATGTAATTTTGAATGACAATGTCATTCATATTCTCCAGTAATAAGGTTTTTATTTTCTCAAAGTGTTTTGAAAAAGGTAATAAAACAAATTTATTTTTAGAACATTAACAGCCAAGACTGAGTTGCAACAAAATAATTTGTAGGTTTCATTTCTTCTAGTTTTCAGTTTTATAGGGTTGAGGAAGTATTGTAATATAAGTTTTGTATGCAAATTGTTAAATAAGCTAAGGATAGCAAACAGAATTCCATAAAATTGTCATTCTAAAAGTATTAATTTAATGTTTTAACCTAACAAAAATAGCAGAAAAATTAGTACTTGTAAATTTTTTGAATTGTTATTTGTGGTTAATTTCAA